ACGAACTTTTTCCTACACCTAATATATACATACAAATTTTTACTTTTCACATTTCCATTCAAGAGAAAAAGTTACATGATCGATATCCTATTTAATTTCTGCAATCTGTTGATATAAAATGTTCAATAGATATTGACGATAGAATAGGAGCAGAATGCGACAGTTGACATTATCTACTAACATCTAATAAAATTTGCTACCAATCTGTTGACGTTCTGTTAACATTTTGCTATCTGAATTAGCTACTCATATTTTTCTATTGTAGGTACTATTATATAATCATTATATGACTAATCGATCAACTTATTCTTATTCTATTCTGTTCTAGTATGAAGGATACAATATCAACACAACAGTTGTATGTCCTTATTTTATCCGTAGTACTGGCATGTTCGATGATGTTCAATCAAGGTAGATAAGATTTTGATATTTATGATAATATAATGAATATACGAAATTACTCAATGTTTTAGAAAATTTCCTCGAAAATTTTTTAGAAGCTATTATTTTTAGAAATAAATTAGAAATAAATTATTATTTATATTTTTTCTAATAATATAAATGTAAATAAATTAACTTATTACATGTATGAAAGTATGTACAATATTCAAACTTTAGATACATCCCGACTCTAAGTCCAAATGCTGTAGCCGATAGAATAATAATGGCGATGAGGTGTAACGAAAAGTATGCCATCATTCCAGGTTACTTACAAATTTTGCTTACTTTAAAGTGGTAAGTAAATTTGTTATTTCATTATTTTATCATTCATATGAAAAAAATTGCATAATCATTAAAACACAGGATATTTCCATGGCCATGTGTCGCGATGTTTCTTCGTGGATTAGTAAGAGACGTTTCGCCAAGCCATGAAAATAATAAATCATGTGTAGTTGCGACTACAACTATCGCGGAAAAGGAATGTATCGTACCATCATCAAAGGATCAAAACGTTGCTGCCATCCATCAACAATTAGCTAGACGTATCTCTAGCCCCGAAAGAAAACCTTGAACTTTTCTTACTCCGTCTCGGTTTTAATATCTAGAATGTTAAAATTTTGTTAAAAGGTTAGAGTTTTCTCTCTTCCTATTGTGTCTTTACCTTGCAGCTCTTTAGATATGTTTCAATCTTTTACATTATTTTAATGAAATAAATCGCTTAATATGTTTGTACAGTGTTGAATAAAAATACTATCCATTTTGACGAGTAGAATTGCGCAGAGCTTCTTTTTTTTCAAATTTCTTATAGCTGCACCTTCAGTAATCGATCATTCATAGAAAGAAAAGGAAATGTGAAGAAGTGCATCTCGCTCTATTAAAAAATTGGATAACATCTTTGTTTTCGATGTATAACCTAGCACAATGCAAGGAGCTTCCATATAGAGAAGAGTTACTGAATACGTACTATTTCTGAGGAAAAAAGATTAGATCTGCCGAGATATAATTATATCTAGGTTCAACAGATCTGGCCAGATATGATACTCCGATAAAAAATTTTGTCATATACAGGATGTTTTATACCTGCTGGATCATTTCTCGTGAAGAAATAGAGTGGACTAGACTGAGTAAAAAATTATCTATCATTTTTACAATTTTCATAATAGCTAACGAAATATTAATTTCTAAAAATCGTAAAAAAATACGTATTCACTTAATGCAAGCGCGTAACATAATACAATATAGAACTGCCTAGCGCGGGGAGATGTTTTTTTTCGCTGTTTGTGCATTACCAAGGCCGCTTTTAGTAAACAACTTCTCACATGCCTAGTAACTTATGGTGAGCCTAGTAGAATCTTTTTAAATTTGGCCCCCTGGGGCGATAAGAGCGAAATGCCAAAATTATAGAGTACCTTCTCTACAGCACGAGTTTACCAATCACCACAGAGAAAAGTGGGGGAATTGTGCATCCTAGTTTGGTACTTTTCCAATAGGTGAAGATATCCGTGAAATTTTTACGCAGAAAGTCATCCTCTTAAGATATAACTACAAAAGATACGACGTAAATACATTGCTAGCCATAGAAATACAAAAAAGTGAAATCATATCTTTTCTTATTATTTTAGCTTTCAGAAAATAAGATGGTAAATCCATATTTAGTTTATTTTTAATTTGTTTGTTTAAAGTTGCATACGTTATTAAAGTACGTTATTATGTGCTTTTGAACTGTTTTTTTATTAATTAATATATATTTATTAATTAATATATATAATATATATAATTAAT